TTTGTATCAATAAAATGTTCCGAAGGGTCATGGAGGACGTGAGAACCAAGAGGGGAGCTGAAATAGCCTCACGTTACCACTTAATGGTGGCCAAAATGAAACCGAAACTCGAGAGGCACTGGATAACGGGGCGGACTACATCACAAAATTTTAATACGGCATTTCTTCGGAATACCGTGAAACTCAATGAATTCAAGATAGCCCTCACCAACAGGTTCCAGGCCTTGCACGATCTACTAAATGGAGAGGAAACAACCTTGGAGAACAATTGCAAAGGGGTCCAGAAATCAGTCACTTCAACATGTCACGAGGTTCTGGGTCACAGGAAGTACCATCATAAGGAATGGTACTCTTGATAAAATTGAAGACAGGAGTAACAAGTAGGCAGAAATCAATGTCATCAGAGCAAGATTAGAGAAAGTTAAGGCACAAGCCGAATAAATAGAAGCAAACAAGAAAGTGAAGAAGAACATCAGAGCCGACAAACAAAAATATGTGGATGACCTACCAATGATGGCGTAAAGGCTGCAAGAGAAGGAAATTCGAGACAATTGTACAGTACAACAGAGAAGTTCGCTAGAAACCATCGTAAACCAGAACGACCAGTGAAAAACAAGGAAGGTGAAGTAATCAGCAACACTGAAGAACAGCGAATTAGGTGGGTAGAGTACTTTAAGGAATTCTTGAATCAACCAGCTCCACTGAACCCAACCAACATCGAAGCAGCATCCACGGACCTCTCAATCGATGTTGGCCCATCAACGATTGAGGAGATCAGTATGGCCATCAGACAAATCAAGAGCGGCAAAGCAGCAGGACTAGACAACATTCCAGTAAAGACAATGCAAGCAGACGTTGCAGCAACTGCAAAAACATTCCTCACCCTCTTCAAAAGGATTTAGGATGAAGAACAACAACCAACAGAGTGGAAAGAAGTATACCTCATCAAAATACCAGAGAAAGGCGATCTCAGCAAGTGTGAGAACTACAGAGGCATCACTCCTCTCTCAATACCAGGCAAAGTCTTCATCATGGTATTGTTAAACAGAATGAAGGAATTCGTAGACGTCCAACTTCGAGATCAACAGGCTGGATTTCGTAAGGATCGATCGTGTACCGACCAAATTGCTACATTACGGATCATTGTGGAACAATCAATTGAATGGAACTCACCACTCTACATCAACTTCATTGACTACGAGAAAGCATTAGACAGCATGGACATGAAAACACTATGGAGGCTTCTTTAACACCAAGGCGTGCCTGACAGACAGACAGATAGACAGATACAACGCGGAACTTCAAACATATGTACATCAGTTCAGGTTGCCATACCACATCAGCACAGAGACCTAACTGTCACTTCAAATCCAAGAGTGATAGCGAGAGTAGAATTATTAGCAGCAATGGAGAAGATTAGGGAGCGAAGATATGATTCGATAACTATAATTCAATGAGATAAATTTAGGAGAAAGATAGAGATTATGAGGGATTCAGACAGTTAGAACTAGAGAGAACACAAAGAGTGGATGTACCTGCGCCATTTCAAACGATTCTGAGCCATGTCGTTCAAGGTCTCTAACCATTGGTGACTTTCGTCTCGCGGACCCCAACCAGGTAGTCTACATCTACCAACATGACTCAGTCCACTTGTCAGTGACTTCATGGATTTCTGCCATGTTTTGGTCTGGCCGCCACTAGCTTTCTTCCAACCTACTCCTACACCACAAAGCATAGCTCGTCGCGGCAGTCGGTGGTTAGGCATACGTAGCACATGTCCCAGCCACCTCAACTGATGAAGTTTCAATGCTTCCTCTATTGATTAGCCGTCCTTACCTAGAACTCGTTTCCTAACGATAGCATTGCTTATACGGTTGTCCCAGGATACACGAGCAATGCTTAGGATACACCAATGATCGAAGACCAGTAACCTACGAATGTCCTCTACTCTTAACGGCCATGTTTCGCATCCGTATAGTAGGACAGAGCGAACTGCTGCACAGTACACTCGTCCTTCAGTGAGCAAACGGATATCTCGCCTACACCGTAAGTGGCACACTTTGGCAATAGCCAATCGAGCCTTCTGTATCCGAGCTGAGATTTCGTCAGTCACCAGGCCATCAGCACTGATGAGACTCACTAGATAAGTGCAGTGGTCAACATGCTCGACTACTTCATTCCCTATCAATAGTTCGGGTGACGATGCAACCCACTCTTGAAGCCATATTTTGCATTTTGAGGGGGAAAACCATATCCCGAGCATGCTTGCATTGTTGCTTAGGGTGGTCAGAAGACTCTGCATTTTGTCAGCGTCTTCACCAAATAGAACTATGTCATCGGCATATTCTAAGTCGATAAGCTAGCCTCCTGGTAAAAGGTCTACTCATGAAAATCCAGACGAGGATAAGGTTATATCTAGGAGCATGTCTATGACAAAGTTAAACAAAATGGAGAAAGTGGGCATCCCTGACGGACACCACTTGAAGTAGAGAATTCCGATGACAGTTCGCCATAAGCCCTCACCCGACCAGTGGTGTTCGAGTAGAGAACTTGTATAAGGTGAATGTACTTCTTTGGTACACCTTTCAATGACAGACACTGCCACAGAACCTCACGATCCACAAAGTCAAATGCCGCCTTTAGGTCCAGGAACACAACTACTGTAGGACGCCTATATGTGTGTGTGTTCCGGGACCTGTCGTAGTGTGAAAATAAGGTCTATACAACCACGTCCAGGTCAAAAACCAGACTGGTTTTCTCGAGTCTGCTCTTCACGAGCTTTCGTTAACCGTCGAAGTATTATTGAGGCCAATATTTTAGAAACTATATTAGTTAGACTTATTCCCCTGTGATTGTCACAAGACTTATGTCCTAGATAGTCTCTTACACCAGGATTCCTAATACCAGTTTCCTTGATAAGTCGGAAAAGTTATCTACTGTTGCCTATTGCCGCTGCCTTTTCCATCGCTTTTGCTTTAGCCACCCACCGCTGTTCACGGTCGTTGCGTAGAATTTTTATCAGCCTACGCTTAAGCTAACTTCGCTCTTCATCATGTTCAGAGCCAGATGGGATGAGTTTTCGTGCCTCCATCAGATCGGTGGATGCTACAGAGATCCACGGCTTCATCCTAGGCTTATGGTTTACCTTACTAGCAGATATCGCTGCTGTCTCCACAGCCTTTTTGATATCGTTCCAACCTGCCTCCGGATGGGAATCACTCACATGGTTGCCTAACTCTCTTTCTAGTTGTTCCTGGAATATATTCTTAGCCTCATTATCATTAAGCAGAACCCTGAGAGGTTTCCTTTCGGTGTCTTTCCAGTAAGCCGCAAACAAATACGAACTCGCACTAGGGCATGATCTGAATCTAAACATGTGCCCCAGAACGAGCGACAGTCTTCTATCGAACCCCTCCATCGGTGACTGATGGCGATATGATCTAGTTGCGTCCAACGTTGAGACGACTTCGGGGTCGCCAGGTCAAAAGGTGTTTTTTCTTATGCTTAAAATTAGTGTTTGCTGGAAATAGTTGGTTATCTGAGCACAGTTGCAACAGACGGTCGCCATTGTCTGTTCTCCGAGTCGCGACACCATAACATCCACCCATGTGTCTTTCCTGCTCACTTAGTCTACCTACTTGAGCATTAAAGTCACCAGCCATCATTACTACATCAGAACGCCTAGCTTTTTGGAAGAGGTCCGAAAGCTTTCTGTAAAACTCATCTTTCACCTCGTCTGGACCGCAGTCGGTGGGGGCATAGGCAGATACGACGAAGAAGCAACGGCAGGTGTCCCTATCTTTCCAAATCCCTACTGTCCCGTTCAGTCGGACTGCGCACAAGCGACTATCTACAGGGATCCAGTCTAGGAGAGCTAGTTCTGCCCTACGACTCAATACTATACCTACACCAGCGAGACCCCGGGAAGCAGCATCAGGGCTACCGGATACACGAAGAGTAAATCGAGAAGCTTCTTTATTTTGATAAGGTGAAATCAGATTAATGATTAAGGCGTGCCTGAGAAGATAGGTAACATCATACGGAATCCTTATGATTGACTAAACTGCGAAATCGTGCACGGAGGACAGCTGACATACTCGTTCGAGGTGAATACCAATGTCAGGGTAGGTTGCTTACTCTCACCCTTTCTCTTTCTCCTGGTGATTGACTGGATTATAGAGACGTCAGCATCTGGAGGGAAGTATGGTATACAGTAGACAACCGAGATGCAGCTGGACGATCTGGACTTCGCAGATTATTTGGCTCTTTTATCGCACATTCAACAATAAATGCAAGAGAAGAGGACCAGTGTAGCAGCAGCAGGTCTCAACATACATAAAGGGAAAGGCAAGACTCTGCGATACAACACAACATGCGCCAACCAAACCACACCTGATGGTGGAGATTCGGAAGATGCGAAAACCTTCACATATCTGGGCAGCATCATTGATAATCAAGGTGGATCGGATGCAGATGTGAGGGCGCGGATCGGCAAAGCAAGGGCTGCATTACGACAACTGAAAAATATCTGAAACTTCAAACAAATATCAATCAACACTAAAATCAGGAAATCAGTCAAGTGTTCGAGAATACTTTGCCGAATAATGAAGCATAAAAGTAGCAGATGAGTCGGAATAATTTACAGTAAATGAACCATGAATAGTTTTCAGCGTCATGCTTTATTTAGTCTTTTAATCCTGATCATACTCTACTGATCAAGTTAATAATATGGCTACTAGAAAAGATTATTCAATATTGCCTAACGAATGGTAACAGAGCTAATTACAGTAGAAGAAATGCAATAAAGGATTGAGAATTGAGATTCTGAAGAGGGTTAAGCAATGAATTTACGAATTCGAGTTAGTTTCTTAGGCCTTCTATTCTTGATCACGATTATCGAGCGAAATGGCAACTATCACAAGTGCTTGCTGTACTGATAGAAATTCAACCCTCTTGAATATTCCTTTTTAATGACTCAATTAATGCGGAACACCGAAGAGTTCTTCAATAAATGTAATATTTTCTCATAACACAAAATTTTTACAGCATTTTCAGCAGTGTACAAAATGGATAGAGAATATTTTAACAAATGATAAAAAAAAATATTGTTTTCATCTTCAATCACATAAACCATTTTCTAACATTAATTTCGCAACTCTATCTTCTATTTCAGCGAATGATGGTTGCTTGAAATGCTTTTTCGGTTTATGCTTTTTGTTAACTTTCCTTTTCATCACTTGTGCTACACTTTTCTCCGTTGGCATTGGTAATAAATTCTGTTCCATAACAGCATTATCTTGTGACTGTTCTAATTTGTCAACAAAATTTGATTCTACTGACTTAATCTTGATTGAACGTTTCATAAATGATTTAGTCGATTGGATAGAGCTAATTTCCAAATAACGATCAAATAAATTCAAAGCATCATTTAAATGTTTACTGTTGTTATTTTGATAATTCATCAATTTCTCAATGATTACATTACGTACATATTGATAACGTTCATTATTATTTGATTGAATTAAATTTATGCAATAATAAATTTCATGAAAAAGATAACCACTTGGAAATATTGAACAAATTGGCGGTAAATTTAAACATGTCGGTAGTTTTTCTCTTTCTTCATTTGTTACTAAAGAATCTAACAAATGAATTAATGTTGATATAGTGATATAGAAAATTTGTAATTGAGCAAAATAATGTACACTGTGTATTTTCAATGTATGTTGATCTTGTATTGTATTAAGATTTTTGCTTGTTTTAGAAATAATCGGTGTTAAATTGAATTGTTTGATAAAATAATTTGCACATTGATAAAAATGTTTATTTAATGGTTTACAATAGGATAAACCAGAATAATTATAATGACTAATCAGCAAATATGCACATATACAAATAGCACCAAAAGTAAGTGAAATAGGACATTGTGTAATATCATCAACATGATCAGTATGCAATGGTATACGCTTACTTTGAAAAGTTAATACATTAATTAAAGCTACAACGATTAACCAATTATTATTATTAATATTATTATCGGATTCTATGAAATGATATACATCAAGATTGAAATATTCTAAAAGAAATAATAACCGACGATCTTTCAGCGCATTCATTTCATAATTTATTAATGATGATAATTTCATTGGTTTCACTGATACTTTTCGACGATTTATGTGAAAACTACCTTTACGATCAAATTCTATGATATAATATGATGTTTTATTAAATTTTTGTAAACCAATCAATTGATTCGGATAACGAAATGTCACACTGGATTCAATGCCTAAGATAAGATTATAAATTAATGATCGAAGATGAATTGCATTTGAGTGAATGGAACGACAATCGTGTAAAGCTTCCAAACTGCATATCCATACTGAACCATATGATAGAATACTATCAACAAATATTGGAAGTATTAAATAATTTCGAAATGAATTCAATAATTCATCAGGCCAATAAGATGTTACTTTGAATGAATTAGTATACATATATTCATTAGTATAAGATTTAGAAGCTGCACCAATTAAACAACCATCATCATCATCATCGTCATGATCATTATGCTCAACAACAGCATGTTTACTTTCATCATGTTCAATATTCAATACTTGATTCTCATTGATATCACTGTCATATTCAGAAGAACATGATGATAATTGTTGTAGGATTGTTTTAGAATTCATTGTATTACTACTACTACTACTACTACTACTACTACAACTATTACTACTACTGCTACTACTAATACTATTACATGTGTCAAATTCAATAACATGCTTGTCATTTTCACAAAGACAACTAGTATTAATAGGAGTTGTATTATTAGCTTTTAAAGATTTTAAATGTTTAGCAAAAGTTGTATATAATAATTCTGGATCTGTTCTATAACTCTGTAAACTTTGTATTAATTCAATGCGCAATTTTGAACGTTCAAATTTTGGATATTTATCTAATATACATTTAATTGGTTTATTAATATCTAAGCCAAAATTAGATAACCATTGAATTAAATTCATGATGATTAATTTACGACGTTTCATTTTCATACTTTTAGTAGCATTTCTATTAAGACACATTGTTTTGCCTTGTGATATAGGTAAAGCTTTTAAAAATGTACTCGACTTTACATAATCATTACCAAGTAAACTTGCAAACAATGGACGTTGAACATCTGGTAGATTTTTTAAACCTGGTCCATTTGTAAGAAATTGTTGACACTTTAAATAAGCGCATATTTTATTGTGTTTATGACAAGCATTACATTTAATTGTATTAATAATCGGTTCAAATGACATTAATGATAATGGTAGAAAGCATACACCCACTTTATTACTTGGTATAGTCACATAAAAATCTGAATCATTACTAATTACTGGACAGTGTAAATAGATGCCCAAACTGATTACATCTTGATCAGCTTCACCATCAGAAGTAACATAATCGATATTTAATGTATTCAATGCTTGAACTAATGTCACCGTTGTCAATGGTGGTAGTAATTCAACATAGTATGAAGTATTAGTAGGTGGTAAATTATGATTTTTAACATGATTTAACAATGTTCGACAAGTTTGCATTCGTTGATGACTTCGTTTCACTTGGGTATTTAATTTGAAATGCTGAAAAAAAAAAAGTTTATGAACCCGGACTTGAGTTAAGTTAGCTTGAGGGAGGGTTTATGAAACAACACAGATGTCTACATTAAAATAGGTGAAACAAGGTCTGAACTTGTGACTTATTGATTGAAACATGAATTCTTTGACTGTTAAAACGCTAGTGTAATATAATAGCAACAATCTTAATATAATAGACCTAGCTACATCAAGAAAACTTTCAACTCTAACACTCTAAGAAGCATACAAACAGCATCAAATGTAATTAGAACTCAAGATATAACAACAGATAAAAGATGAATGTATATGAACTACTAAGTTCGATTATAATTTAGTGTCGCCAAATGGTAATCTCATTTTTCGCGCAGACCCAAATCAAGTGGACTATACATGGCTCATTAATTTCATCGACTGAAAACACTTTTAGTTTGAGTGTTCGTAGATTTCTTCTAGCCTACTCTCTTACCCAACCCAGCAGCAAATGTTGAGGTAGGCACAAACTGCAGTCATGGAATTAATCCAGGTTATAACAATACTCTTATTATAGCTCAGTAAGATTTAAAATGACTAGCTCTGTATATTTTTAACGTGGAAATAGTAGGACATAAAGCATGAAATCGTATTTATTTACCATTCATACATTTAAAAAGACTTGAACTCACTTCGTGACATCCATCAAAAACAAATATAGGATTTATGCCACATCGTTTTAATGAATTGATGAAACGATTAATTACCCCGCTGAATGCTAAATATTCTCCATTAAATTGAGTATACAATTCCGAATCGAAATAAAGAAAGTTCAAAAAATTCAATGCATCAATAACAACAGTGGTATTATGTAATTGATAATCAATAAAATTTCGTGGATCACTTTCTAAGTATGTTGTCAATCCTCGTACACCCATTAAGATAACAACAACAACAACAACAACTGTAATTTTTTCAATAATTAGTAATAACTCCAGTAAATAATGGTTAGGTATCTCAAACTGATCATACTGTTAATTGATGCTTTCCACTGACTATAATCATTTCCATAAGTGATAAAAAAAAGGAGAGAGAGAATATCAAAATGTAGCATTTTTAATAGTTTAAAAATGTAAAGAAAAAATTAAATGCATAAGCAAATATTTATATAATCAATGCCTTTAGCATGAAATAAACAAAATTCCAATAATAATGATTAAGTTTGTTTTAATGGTAAAATAGGCCATATTGGTGAATCACGACAAGGTGATAAAAATTCATAATAATGTAAAATAGAAGCTTCAAGCATTTCAATTTGAGAATCAATTGTTTGAATATTTGTAGGTTTGTTCACTTTACGAGGTGGTGCTTTCAACATTGATTGTGTTTGGTTGGAATTTGACTCATTATTATCACGATTTTGACGGTGTTGTATGGTTTTCATCATAAAATTGATATAATCAGGATCTAATGAAATATCTTCCTCCTCCTCTTCCTTCATTTCATCTTCTTTGTTATGAATATTTTCATAGTATCCTGGATTTGTAATATAGTCAAGAGCATAAGATGGTAGACAGTTAGCTAGAGTATTCATTCGTTCAAGTGTGTCATTAAAAGCTTTTCTAAAGTACTCCTGTTTATAATATAAACGTAAGACTTCATCTTCTGCATTTTTCAATAGATTTTGAACATTTGTATGTTGATGAGACGATTTACTAGAAAAAGATCCTTTTGGAAGTTTTTCAAGTAACTTTAATTCATCTTCAGTAATTAGAGGTGAAAGAAGTTGAGAGATATTTTGAACTAGATGTAGGTTGGAATTCATGTTTTCGTTAGAAAATGTATAAGTTCTGAAAGAAAATATTATTCACTGATAAATGATGCGTATAAAATAGTGAAGTAAGAAAAAACACGTGATAATGTAAGGCTTTTAATTTTGTTATTCAACAAAACGACTTTGAGTTTGTAATATATTATCTTTTAAATCAGAAACATTTGGAGTCACTTCGTAATTTGCAATCACAGCCTCTCGTTTAGGTGTTGGTTTATAGTCACCCCGTAAGCCAATATAGTGAATTCGTGTTGTATCACCACCATAATTAGCATTGAAATGTAAACTCAGTGTTTGCACATTAGAAAAGCGTGCAATTTTCAATGGATATATTACTTCACCATTCGGATCTATAGTGAGTTCAAGCGTTTGATCACATTCAACCTATTTTCTTGGAATTATGTTCAATTTTAAAGACTTACATTCAAATCTTCAAATGTCATAAAAGGTTTATTTTTATACAATGACACTTGACTAGGATGTTGTTCGGGATTAGCACCAGATATAATGATACTCATTATTTTTATGTTCCCAGTAAACGGTATATTGAATAATAACTCTTGGTCAACATCACTCTCAACATAAACACTTGAATCTTTACGATCCTGAACATAATAATTATGAAATAAGAAGCATACTTCATAAGGCTTAAACACAAGTTTGCCACTTCCAGAAATGGACTCATTTAAACATTCTACATTATGTATATCGATAAACTTGTACAGACTAAATGATGGCGAATCATCGGCTTTGTGTGAATGACAGCAATGGCCTCCAATGCTATGATCGCACATTTAGCAACTGTAAATGAAAGGAACGATTGCAAAGATGTAAATCCATGGTATCGGACCTTAAAGAGGCATTCAACTCTGTCGATTGTGAGGTTCTGTGGCAGTGTCTGTCATTTAAAGGTGTACCAAAGAATTACGTTAACCTTATACAAGCTCTCTACTAGAGCACTAGTCAAGTGAGAGTTTATGGCGAACTGTCATCGGAATTCGACACCTCAAGTGGTGTCCGTTAGGGCTGTTTACTCTCTCCGTTCTTGTTTAACTTTGTCGTAGACATGCTTTTAGAATCAATTTTGTCTGACTTTGTAGGCGTGGACCTTCTACCAGGAGACACGCTTGTTGACTTAGAATATGCCGATGAGATAGTTCTACTCCGTGAAGACGCTGACAAAATACAGTCTTCTGACTACCCTAAGCAACAATGCAAACATGTTCAGGATGCCATGCTCCCCATTGAAATGTAAGATGCTGCTCCAAGATCCGGTTGCATCGGCACCTCAACAAGTGATACGGATTGAAGTGGTTGGGGATGTAGACCGCCTCACCTATCTCGGAAGTCTAATCAGTGCCAATGGACCGGTGACTGATGAAGTCTAAGCTCGGATACAAAAGGCTCGATTGACTCTTGCACACTTGCGTCACTTAGAGCGTCGGTGAGATATCCGTCTCTTCACCAAAAGACGAGTCTATGCGCAGAAGATCGCTCCGTCATATTTAACGGATATGAAACATGGCTGATGAGAGTTGAGGATATTCGTAAGCTATTAGTATTCTATTATAGATGTCTTCGAAGCATTGATCGTGTATCCAGGAACAACCGAATAAGCAATGCTGTTGTTAGGAAACGAATACTGCATAAACATGCAAATCAGTTGACGAAGTAGAAAATCTTCATCGATTGAGGTGATTGTGAAACGTGTAACGAATACCCAACCTTCCTTTGCTCTGATGAATGATAATTAATGTACCGGTAGGGTCGAAATCTAATGATGACCAAAACAAAACCTGGCCAAAGTCCATGAAGTCACTGGAAAATGAACTCAGCCATGTGAGTAGTGGTAGTCTTCCTGTTTAGGGTCTGCGCTACAATGGTAACTGATGGTTAGAGACTTTGAATGACATACCTTAAAATCGTTTTCAGTTGCGCAGGTTCATTCATTCATTGTGTTCTCTCAAATTCTAACCCTATGAATTCCTCATCATGAATATCTTTCTCTTTCTAAATTTACCTCACTGAATTATACTTCTCGAATTATATCTTCGAACCCTAATCGTCTCCATTATTCCTAATACTTTCACAATCACTGCAACTATGGGATTTGAACTGACAGTTACGTCTCTGTGCTGATCAGGTATGTCAACCTGAATTTATGTACTCATGTATGAAGTTCAACGTTGTAACTGACTGACTGAACCACTGGTTGCGATTATCGCGCGGATTCCAGCTAGATAGTCTTCCCGCACACATATGGTTCAGTTTAAGAATCAGTTAATTCATGAACAGATGCCATGTCTTCGTCTGGCCACATCCAGCTTTCTTCTAACCTATTTTTACATCAACCGTCATCACCTGTTAAGGTAATCAGTGGATGGGCAAATGAAACATGTCCCAATCACCGCAAGTAATGAAGATTCATCACTTAGTCAACTGATTTTAGATATTTATCCAATGCTTTTAGACTAACCTCATCATTGCTGACCCAACAGTTTCAAAATATACGAGTAGTACTTCGATGACACCCATGATCGAATACCAGTAACCCACGAATACTCTTTTCTTCAAGGCCATGTTTCATGCTCATAGAGTGAACTGCTGCGCAGTAAACTCGCCTTTTAAGTGACAAACGAATATCTTGCATACGCCGCAAGTGATTTAAGTGACCGAACACTAACCCGGCTTTTCGAATTCGTTCCAAGATCTCAGGACACCAACACACCGAAAATGAAATTTCTAACAAAAACGCGACACTTGGTGCATAATTGCATGACAACTGTGTTTAAATATTACTTAAGAGTAGGATGTCTCAAAGGGTTCACATGGAAATAACCGAAGTATCTTGAAACGAATAATCACTGAGCTTCCTGTTCACTTAGATGAACACAAAAAAATAAACAATGGACTCTGCAAACGTTTGATAGTTCAGATAATTCTCCGATCTACTATTGATTGAAGGCAATATCATGAGACTTGTCCGTACTTTAACGTGACCAAGGATGGTAGTTGACGTTTAATCACCTAAGATCTAGTAGAATAACTATCGGTATAACCCCACATTGTTAATGCCAAGCACCAAGTGGATCTACCAAACTAGTGAAAGAAATGTCAAATGTAGCCTTACTGTAGCCTTTTGCTTTCAATTTCGAATATCACCTCTACCTTATTCACACATTCGAAAATGCCTGTATATATTATCCGTTTAAAAGTTCTTATCCGTATATTAACAGATACAGTAGAGATATGGTAACGCATTTATTGTAACAACTTCAAAGATATAAGGTGAAATGCGGAAGATATTAGGGTATCTAAATTCCTCTACATCCAATATCTTATACACGAACTAGTATAAACCAATTGGTCTCTTTGGGCTTGATTCTTATTCTTTCGGTACGGTTTCAGGTATCTGGTAGTGTTCAATGGATGGTGGTCTAGCCACTCGACTGCACTAGTTCTAGTCAGTTGGCAACTGTTTGTGAGTTTGTATGTCCCCCGATTTGAATGAGTACATTTGTTTCAATTTCATCCAAGTTATACGACGGTCCCATTAAAATGCTCAGAGTGGGGAAAGTAAAACGCAAAATTTAGAATCTAACCACGTCTTTTTCCAAGGTTCACCCCGATTCCTCCCGAATACGTAGTGTTGAATGGTAAATAGAAGTAACTAACCAAATGCATAGAAATATACCGAAACAACAGGAAACGAGCGGAAATAAATCGACTAGTTTACGTTATCTCGTGAAAAAGATATGCGATACTGTCAAAAACCTAATACTTTTTCCTCCAGCTAGTACAAAATCGACTGATTTCTTTTCGATCGAATCCTGTTCCTTCGGTACGGTTCCAGGTTTCTCACCACACTTTGTGTAAGATATAACTCATTTCAATCTAGATGCTAACCTAACCTTTGAATTATACAGAAGCAGTAAACACAGAGAACGCTAGTATGATTCGAGAAAACAAACAGAATCAGAGAATCTCGTTATTACGCTGTATTTAAGTTAGCCGCCGGCTCAATCCAATATCCAATATTGGATATTGGATTGAGTGCCTTCTGGCAGTTACATAAGGTTCCATTGAGAAACATTGCATCATATTACCTTGATTCAGAAAAATATTGCAGTATTGTGACATTTTCAAAGATATGGAACAGAATAATTCTAAAACAAAGACGACTACCTTCCGAAATGATTTCTTGGCTTTTTCCTTCACACGAAGCTAGAGGTTCCCAGAGATTGCTGAAATTAAGAACTCTGATGTCCGAGTTAGCTTCTGTTGTTGACCGTCTCGCGAGAAAAACGGGATCTGGGCCTGATAATAAGCGATATAGATTAGGTTTGTGGTCTGAGAATATGGCAATAATAACAACTAGCATGTCCCAAGACATACGTCAGGCACAGCTCGTCCATGAGGAAATGATAATCCATATGTGAGTATGTGTTTATCAAGTCTCTTCTTAAAGCTGTCCACTGAAGCGGCTGTATTCACCTCGGCTGGTAGAACGTTCCAAGTTGCAACTACTCTTAATGTTTGATCTTTGATGCGCAAATTTTCGAGGACTACCTCGCGAACGTGCTGGTGATGATTTAGTAAGGTGCTCACTTTCAGATGGTTTGACGTGCCTAATATGTTGTACGCCATAATCAGATCGTCTATGATTGTCCTGACCCTCTGGAGGAATAATTCCAGGTGCTGGAGTCTGTTTTTACTAAGGCTTGTTCTTTGACTCTATCACTCATTTAGTTGCTCCTCTCTTCACTCAATGCAGGAGATTTGTGTCACTTTTAAGGAGAGGTTGTCTGACAACGTTTTGAACCTCAAGGCGTGGGCGTGCGTATACCTTAGACAAAGTTAAGAATAATTGTGGGGTGACAACACCGAGTTGTCTTCGCGTAAAGTGAAGAGCTGCATTAGCCTTGGCTGCGTCCTCTATATAGTTCGAACTGGTGTCTAAGCTTTTTGTGGTTATTAGACCGAGATCACGCTCCGAGGATACATAATGGAGCTGACTTCCGTTGAGGGAGTAAATTGTTTGCATCATGTGGGCCCAGAATGTACATAACGTGACGTTTCCTCTGGTTTAGTTTTAAACAGTTATTCACTGATCATTCCTTAATGGATGTAAGGTCCTTTTGGAGCTCAGTCGAATCCTCTTCGCCTCTCATGGACTGCCCGCTCTTTGCATCGTCTGCATAGATCAGTGCTGCGGAGCTGACTTTGCATAAGAGGTCGTTGGTGAATTTTAGGAAGAGAAGTAAACAAAAGATGTTCCCCTGTGGAACTCCTGGTATTGAGACTCGTCAGCTCCTACTCACACTGCTTACTTTGAGCTAAGATAGAAGTGGGCGACTGAAGCCAATTTCTGCAACCTTCGCAATTAAATGTGTTTGGGGTATTGTGTCGAAGGTTTTCGCGAAGTCAAGGAATATTATTTGCACCGGTATTTTTCGGTCCAAGCAGGATGTTTAACTGTCCCATGCTGTGAGAAGATTGGATGAGCACGACCTGCCTTTCCTAAACCCGTATTGAGCTTTATGAAGGATTTTGTTGCTAACCTTGTACTCCCTCATCTGTTCGTTCGCCAGTCCTTCCATCACCTTCATAGTATTGGTAGTAATGCAACTGGTCTGTAACAGGCTGGGTCCTTCCTAACTCCTTCTTTGAAGATTGGAGAGAGAGTAGCTTGTTTCCATCCAGCTAATAGTTGGTGTGACTTCAGTAAATGCCGGAACACGTCACATACCGGAGAAGTGATAGGTTTCTCTCACTGTTTTCGGCTTAAAGAGCGGCTGTTATTGCATCCTTGTTACTTTCCATGGCGCAAGGAGTTTAGGTTTCTTGATATCAATCTGAAGGCTAATTGAATATTTTCCGGTCCTTCAGCTGGCAATTAAGTTGAAAACTGTTCCGCGCTTGTAAAAAGTTGATTCCATTGATCGGTTGAGTTGGCAGTGAATACCTAATCCAGTAAGATCCTCACCATTTGTACCTTAGAGAACCCATACACTAGATTTCGTAGGTTTTACGTTGGTAATGAATTTGTGAAGAAATTAGTAGTTTAATTGACTTTCAGCTGTTAGCTTGGTGTGGAAATATCGCTTATCGTTTGGTTTGACGTTGCATCTGAGACTCGAAGCCCGGTAGGATCTATGATCTAAATACTTCGGACAGTTGTTCCAGTTACTCGAGCTCTGTGCATCGCTTAACACATGATCTTCTCACCCTAGACCTATGATTTTCAGAAGTATGTTTTGCAGGATAGTATTCTGAATGGTGTTGCTCGCCACCTCCAATTGGTCATCAAATACCAGCCCACAAAACTCTCGTGACCACCTGGCGTTTAGAAGATACGTAGCCGATTCACATTTACGGGCATTTGACCAGAAAATAAGGGTAATCTTACGATACAATTAAAGATAAACAGAAATTAACAAGGTTCTACCAGGTCGAAATAGATACCTCGGACTTGCGAAGCAATCGCAAAAGTATTTCCGGTATTATTGACAAACAAACAGTTTATCTTAAGGCTGAACAAAGAATAGTGGTGGAAACGGATTAGAAATACTCTTTGAAAGATGGGGTCTTTTGCAACACTAAGGTGAACAGATAATCAGTCCAGAAGGAAAAATAGATTAGGCAGCTTACGTGAGAGGTAACTAACGAACACACTACACATGCATGTGTGTCACTTTTACACAACACAAGGGGTCTCATGGTCCACAGAAACTCAGGTCCATTCTCTCTTGAAGAAATGCACATACTGAGTAGTTCATCTCATGCGCCAGTCGGAACTCACATCGATCGCCCCATGGCCAGGCATAATCATGCACTACACTCACGAACTCACTCAACCTTTCTACGCTAACCACAAGCCACACCCCAGTCATCAGCAGAAGTAGGATGCTGAGGCCATGCACAACCCAGCAGTCATCGGTCTGGTCTCAGCTAGCTGAAGTCTTGATGGAAGTGGTTATTCTCTGCTGGCGGTTATGACATTCTATTGTTGACGATGAAATTATATCCTGAACAAATTATTTGAACTTGGTCTCAGCATTTTGTGGATAATTGTATAAAAATTCTGCCAAAGACATGTATTGACCTCTAAACCAACTAAGGCTAGAAAGCCTTTAGAGAAATTGATTAGCGGAGATTTTTGACTTATCTAGGGTCATGACCGATAGAAACCGACAAGTAAATGGCATAGTTCTGACTCACAAGACCAGTTCAGTTACAGTATGTAACCAACTTCTGCAAGTCGATGTGGTATTACGCTATTCAGGTTGTTATATCACCTCGTTCAAAGCTGGCAGAATATCGTACACACTAGCACTTTAGTTGGATGAGTATTGTGGACTCACCGAAAAGCTTCTCATGCCTTCAGCATCTACTGTTCTGCAAAGTGGGACAGTTTTCCCAGTTTTAATGGTGATGATATGGGCCAGAACAACAGGTATCTTGAGAGTTAATAATGTCGACCTACTTTGGAAATTGATGTTTCGTGTTTTAGCTTCCAACTGAAAATATCATATAATGCATTATCACCAAGAATATAACCACCTCTTTCACTTTAGCAAAGGAGAGACTGTGAAACGAAATGAGCTTGTCGGGTTGGAGACAAATTTTCCGGTGAGTTGAGCCCTTGTGCAATGGTCGCTTGCTTCTCTGGATTGCCTGTATACGCTTTAATTTCAAGTTCGTTTGTACTCCATCCAACAGCACATTTTATGTGCTAATGCCTATGACTGTGGGTTGCGCTTATATAAATATTTATTACTCTCGCAGTGAGCTCTGAATCCAAAAGGTGTAAGTTAACACGCGTCTCTACCAGTCCAAGTCCAAAAATGATAAATCTGGGAAAGAATGGCTCTACTTTTAATCAAAATAGGAAATACAGACAATTAACAAAACAATATTACACCTTCGAGTTTCTAATCACAACAATAAGTTCCAAAAACAAAGCCTTCAAAATAGATTCTACACCGGCCCGCGAAATCCCTCCATACAAAGGAAAGCCCATCTGACACTTCAGCAGGTTCACTCTCATCCCCTAATCCACACCAGAAGAACGAGTAGGACTTAGAGCAGTACGCCTACCCGCCCTCTAAAATTGATATGACCTATCATGCTAACTATGTGCCTGTACCTTCCCATCAGGTTCTTGATTCCTCTATCTATCTCAGCATGACCTAAAGGTAGTATAAACTTCATCCAGTTAACCCACATGAACATGTACAACACGTCGTAGTGCTGGTCTTACCTTATTCGAAATTTACTCTCTACTTCATGAGGATGAATCGTCAATCCACCACCACTTGCTCTGAGCGGCAGACACGATGAAGTCAATGGTGCCAACTTATCAACAGTAGTTCTTGACCCATAAATAATATGCAAGGGTAGGATCTCCAATTTTGATATTTCCTCGTCTCCTGAAGAGTCTAAGTGGCATAACATAGGAACAATATTTACCTCACCATCTCCTGGCACAGAAGAGGTTTGATCAGCATTCTTCATCGTTGACAACTCATTTGTCTTATCAGTGACATCAAGATCATTGTCATCGTCATCATGATTCCGTTCTGTCAGACAAGTCACGTTGTTTCTGGAAACACTAGCACCCGTAGAGTAAAACTCTTCCGTTGTTGTATAACTCATCTCGCTACATGAAAGAACAGCATTAGTATCGCAATTAGAAACCGATAAACTCACTTGTTGTTCTTCATGTTCCGTTTCAGGGACACAAGACATGTGTACATCAACAGCATCGTTATCATACAACACTGTAAACTGGCTGTTACCATCAGACGCTTTCTTCTCATCATAACTCGACTGACAGTCAACCGGAGTAAGAACAGTTAGAGTTGAACAATCTTCTGCATCTTCAACCAGCTTTGCGTTTGCGGTAGGATTCGATTAAGTAGATCGACTAGTCACTATAGGTGGATTGCTCACACTTGCTGTCTCTTTACTATCGCTGCCACTACTACGATTCTGATGACTACTCTCTTCATTGCTGGTCACAGCAT